TTGTAATTTCTTTTCCCATCGCTTTTTAAAGCTTCCCAAGCTTTCCAAAGCTAAATCTCCCTCCACTCCCTAGTCCTTCTCATGCTGATTTGTTGTCTTTTATCTTGACATGTACACAATTCATTCCAGCCCATCAAATTTTGAGGAGTGCCTTTAGAAACGATATGACCATAGCCTCAGTTTAGAGCCAAAAGGGCATTAAGTCAAATACTTTAATACAGACTTAATGCCCTTCTCGCTCTGAACAGAGGATAGACAACATTTGTTACTCTTATCACCGACTTTGATGGAATGGTATGAAGCGATACCATTTTCCAGCAAGCGATCGTTATCAGAGTTATCAAACTTCTTGTTATTGCCTCTAAGAAAATTGTCTCTTATCGTTCATGAACCGGGAATGAAGTTGAGGACAGGTGAAATTGTAGACGGCTTTCCGTGTCATTTTCTCATGACCAGAGAAAGTAAAGTAAGAGGGTTTGGCTGTCAAAACTTTGAAATAGAGATTGATCGCAAAAGTTTCAACATGAAGAAAGGCAATCACCTAAAATCACTCAATTGATAAAAAGGTTATCTTTTGGATAACTTTTGCATCATATATTGTTTGAAATAGAGTTGTTTTGCCACTTGCCTTTTCTCTTTGTGGATAAAAATAGACAAACAATTACTTCCTGCTTTTTCCACATTTCCAATTTTATTTCAGGAAGAATTAAAAAGTGTTTCAAATATGATAAATTCATAGACTCTTTATATGGAAAATGTTTATGTTACAACATTGTCATTTAGTGAGTTATCCCTTAAAAAAATAAAGAAATATTAACAAAGCTGGGTTATCTTTTAGTTCATATTATATAGTAGCCTGCTTTTCAAGCATAAGTAAAGAGATTAATAATAGTGTAACAACTTTTTTAAATCTTTCAAAACTGAATAGTACATTTAAGAACTTTACATGAATTTGAATACAGTAGTAAACTGGGTCATTCCTTTTTGTAATACATGTGCAGGGAATAATTTTCCTCAAATTTTTTGATTCGCAATGTCAGCCGATGGATAAATATTTCAAATGCAATTCTGTACATTTCTATGGAAGAAAACTGCTACACAAAAGATATTTTGTATAGCAGTCATGCAAAAATGCATAGCAAATTGCGATGCGATACCAGGAAAATTATTCCCTGCATGTGTATTTGTGGAATATTTGGTAATCTTTTATGTCTTTATCTTTTCCGTGAGCCACGGTCCTGTCATTATTTATCTTCTTCGAAAGATAATGCTCGTGATGAAGATGGATTGCCTCATCTTGATATTGATGTGTGAGAGAATAGCTGCTCTACTTCCTTCTAACCTTTTAAAGGGGATTCCTTTTTTGAAAGAGACAATATTTTGAAGCGCCTACGTCTCTTTCTCTCTTTCTATTTAAACTTTGTTTAAGGTTTTGAGATATGAATGTAAAAGGTTTTAAAGATTTATTCTTGATATCTTTTAAGTGAGATAAGCTTATGGAAAAGATGATTTACCTTATGATGAAATGGATGTGCGAGAGAATAGTAGTTCTACTTAATAATGATAATAATATTTAATATTTAATATTAAATTTTTATATAGCGCTTAATACAAATGTCTCTAAGCGCTTTACAAATATACTTCCAAATACAAATACAAATATACTTCCAACCTTTTGAAGGGAATTCTTTTTAAAAAGCAATATTTAGAAGACAAAAATACTATTTAGCTATTTTACATTTGTTTTATGTTTGATTAAGATATATTTATTCAGGATATATTTTTTTAAAGATAATGCTTATGAAAATGAATTGCTTCATGATGAAGATGATCTGGAGTATACTGAGTGATTGAATTATACTGAGCTGCATTGCATAGATCTATATTCATGGCAGTTACATTCAGTGTATTGTGTAGCACAGCCGCAGGAACTATCTGAACTTCTGACCTTAGATGGACGAGCATGTCCTTGATAACACTTGACCATGACGTGACCTCCTAACCTCCTTCTTCTTACATTCACATCATCCGTCATCTGTGCTGGATGCCAAACACATTCTATTGTTTATAGGCTTATGAGTATGACACATTGTTGGTTGCATGGAAGAAGGCAGTAACACCCATTTGCTGTCAATGGCAGTAAGGGCCTTCTCGCAGGCAGGCGACAACATGATTCTGGACAGTAATTGCTCTGGACTCTAATACTCTTTTCACACTTGTTTTGCTTAACCCAGTACTTTGCTTAGCCCTGTACTATCCTTAACCCCGGACTAACTTTTTTGGCTTTTCACACACGCTGTTTTTTAGTCCCGTACTAGCGCCTATTCCGGAATAAGAAAATTCATGCTCTTCTCACTGCAATTCGTTAGCCCCGGACTAATGAATATTATGATTGGACAGTGGGCTCCTTACTTCGCCTCTGGCCAGCTGCGATACGCTCCATTGCGTAGTACTGGACTTTTTTTCGTTTCTGTTCTCATTCATTTGCTTGCCACCGCAATTGCGGTGTTAGCAGGAGTTAGCACCACAATTGCGGGGTTAGCCCTGCTATTTTGCAGGGCCAGCTAACCCCGTACTATAGGTGAGGCTAGCCCACTTTGGTAAATACGAGTCTGAACAGAAAGTGGAATAAGCTTAACCCCGGACTATAGGTGGGGCTAAGACCCCCCCCCCCTCCCTTAACCCCACCTATGGTACAGGGTTAAGCAAAATTTTGCCAGTGTGAAAACAGTATAAGTGAATTCTTAAATTTGATCCTGGACACAAAAACTGTAGGCTACTTTACCCTAACCTTCACTATGAACATAACTGACAAAGAAAGCGGACAAAATATACAGTTCCTCAGGTACACAAAGGAACATCCCTTCACTGCTATTATGTACAAATGTGTAGAACAGGTGTCACATGCATATTCACCTTTTTACATAACAGCAGTGAAGGGATGTTCCTTTGTCTACCTGAGGAACTGTATATTTTGTCCGCTTTCTTTGTCTGTCATTTTCATAGTGCCTGAACCTAAATCTGATCTAAAACTCAATTGCAACCCTAACCCTAACCTTATTCTCTTGACGAAATAGAACTTGGAACAATTGTTGCAGTAGCAAATGTCGTAACACCAATATTAACCCATTGTATGTCAATGGGAACTGTTGGTTCCCTGTGTTAAGTCTATGGGGATGAGAGATTTCAGTGGTCGACAGGTTTACCTTCACACTGCCTGCTGAGGGCCTGAAATTGTTAACCATTTCAATACAGACTTTAGGACCCTCCTATCTCTCAGAAGACGATAAGTACTACCTCTGTAGGCTAGGGCCTAGAGAGTGTGAAATGTTGAATATGTACGCCCTCTTTTGGGTTTTCTCACTGCTTAAGTCGTCTGCTCAGAACCAGAAGGGAGTAACTTGTATACTTTTAACACAGACCTTCTGACTCTCAACCTAATATTTTAACATGTATACACAGTGAATGTTGTACACACCCCCACTATGTTGCTGTTTAGTCATATCTCCTTTCGATGTTACCACTGTCAGTGTACAGAATCTGATTATGGTGCACACCCCCTCAATAGGGCTCTTCAGTCTACATCTGAGAGTGCGTTATTGTGGGACAAACCTTCCTTACTTCAGGTCTAGAAGAGGAGGTTCTTGGCTCTTGATCACCAACTTTTTACAAAGATGGTTGGCCTATTTGTTTTCAGGAAGATGTCATCTCTTGAAGCTAGAAACGTGTTTACTTTCAACCGTTCATGTTGAGTTAATTCCCTTCTCACAACACATGTTGTCTGTACAAAGCTAGAAGTTAATTGGTTCACTTTGTTTTAACCTATATAGATTATGTCTTTCTTGCTCCAAACAGACAATGTGATCCCTCGCCATGTGTTGTATCAGAAGACAATAATACACCTGTGAAATACAAATCGGACACCTCCAATTATTTCCCCCATTCCTGAAAGGAGACTACTTTCAAATGGTATTACTGAGCTGGAGTTGGGGCTGTAGATAAACGATGACAGGCTTTGAGAGAGGCTAATTCCTCCAGCATAAATTTCATAAAATTAGATACATGTGGTCCTACCATCAGGTCAACCTGGCCCAGCATGTCACCTCCCGTTGTATAACGCCTCCTCCCATTGGCTGTTCCCCACCTCCAGCCCCTGGCTTTGATCAATCACAGCCCTCGACAGATCCCCTCTAGGCCATGACTCAGGGGGGAAACCTAGACTGCCTTCGCTCAGCTTGAGTCTCCGTGCAAGGGATCGAGCTCTCTTGATTGAATTCTGAAATTGTTTCTCATTCTCAAATCGGCTCCCCTCGCCAGGCGTGTGTGACACTCCGAACGGTAGTAGTAGCACGCACGAAGGGAACCTAAATACGTAGCAGACGCATGCTTGCCGATCACTGCTCTCAGCACCTTCATCGCCGTCCACGTACCCTAAAGCCGTGGATAAACATTGCCGTATACTATAGGATCGATGGGAAGAGCTGGCTTGTTGCATGCTTTAGGTGTTCATTCATGATTGTACATTTCAAGGAGCTTGTTAGTAAATTTCGACTAGCTTGTGGATGATACCTCAGATTCCAGTCAGCATCAGAGGCCAACATATCAAGGAACTTGTTTATAAATATCAACGAAATTCTAGATGATTTTACACTCAATGGATTCATGGTTGTACATTTCAAGGAGCTTGCCATTTCTATGAGCTTCTAGATGATATTTCAGCTAGCTTGTGGATGATATTTCAGCAACTGACATCAACAAACTTGACCTCAATCCTCAAGAGTAGATACCATTGTTAAATATTTGTGGAATTCATGTGAGGAACTTAGCTTTCATCATCACCATCACCATCATCATCATGTGAATGAAATAAGCAGTGGATAGTAACATTGCTATTACTTTTTCATACACCTGTACTTGTTTCAAGGCATATTTGTATGTCAATTTCACAAGAAGCTTGTCAATTCAAAAGAAGCTTGTCAATTTCACAAGAAGCTTGTCAATTTCACAAGAAGCTTGTCAATTTCACCAGAACCTTGTCAATTTCACAAGAAGCTTGTGAAATAAGCAGTGGATGGTGACATTTACATACACCTGTACTTGTTTCCAGGCATATTTGTATGTCAATTTCACAAGAAGCTTGTGAATTACCCTGGACATCCTTGAGGTTCAATTTGTGATACCAATTTGGAGACCCGTAAAAAACCCGCTTTGGTGAAAATGTACAACTTTGACTGAAGGTCGGACATTGTTTCACTTTCTCCTACAGGAATATTTCATTCTTTAGCAACAGACATTGAAGAATTTCTTTGGATTTTTACTTTTGTGGTGCTTATGACATGAAGCAAAAAATCTGTGGTATTTGCTCCGATAATTTGTTCTCCGTCTCGTGAAATTTAAGGCTTTGTTCGGAGAAAGGACAGACAGAGGATTTTGCATACTTGGTCCAACTGTGAAGTTGTCTTACAACTTTTCTCCCATTTGAAAGTGTAAGTTTTCAAAATCAAATAAAATTGCAATAGGACTTATAATTTGTAGATTGCCTTGAAAATATGCTTTTTATGAAATAAATGATGTAGGCTTCACATTTACTTACATAATCATTACAGTTTTTGCTGTTTGATTATTTGTTTTTGTATGTTTTTTGTTTATTTGTAAGTTTTACTATGATTTAGGAATTTTCCACTTTCGAAATAGACTCTGTGTTTACTTGATGGTTGTCTCCGTCTCACACATCCATGATACATAAATGTTTGTAACATATTACGTACAGCTTGATCTTCTAATGATTGATCATGATGATGATTTCTAAACTTTTGTAGTGTATTGAATGGAAACTATGATTCATGCAAATGAATGTCTTTTAGGAGTTGAAAGTGCTATGTTAGCAGAACCTGGCTGTGAAGGGTAGGGGAGTACATGTTTGGATTATCCTTTCAATTGAAAAATGACAGTCTAGTCTTGATGGTTGAAGTATGTCAGAAATTATGGATATTCAATTCATTGAAAGAGATAATGTGCTAGTTTCTACACCTTCCTAAGTTATTTTAGATTTTCTCTTCCTTCACTTCTCTGGTGCATACAAGCGAATGTGAAAAATGGCTGTAATTTTTCACTCATTTCATTTTAGAAATGTATTATCTTGTTTGATTTGATTTGATTTGATTTCATGCTGTCCTAACACATTGAACTACTTACTTATACCATAGCCTGCCAATTTCTTTAGAGATACAATGACTCTAATCATTCATAAATTTACCAGTTAAAAAGATTCAATCAAATATTAATCATTTTGCTTTGTTGAGTTACTTATCTGCAGAATTAATTTACCATGTAAGAAAAACTTGCATCAAACTAAAACAGAAAAGTACAACATTTATCAATTAACTTTAAATTAAGACTTTGGTAGAATGACATTTAAATCTAATGTTGTTATTCCATGTCCTCTCGATTTAAAGAAATAGGGACGGATGAAGTAAAAAGATATACCAAGTATTTTTTTAACCATAACATCTAATTTATGTAATTGCCTGCACGATCCGAAATATTTCAGTAACTCAAGACAGTCACCCATGACTTCTGATAACGATTCGAATGGCATAATACATCACTGGAATTCTGTTTGTTCTCTTACCTCTCTGTATCTTTAGAAGTAATGAGATAAGGAGTCAAGAAAATTCAAGAAAATACTGAAACCGTCCCGCTGGCGTGCCCTTGGTCGTACCAGCAGCCCATCCTTGGTTAGAGACGGCTAAAAACAATCAGGTAATTTGCTCACATGTTTGCACTTATATTGGACCAATACACAGCCTCGTTTACTCTGCGTTCAGCCTACAAGAAATCATGGTATAGCTGTACAAGAATTTCTCAGCTCTATGAATGTTGTATAATGAAATGTTGGAGCTAAGCATCTTTGAACGAAAACTTGATAAAGTAACAGGTTCCTGGGGCTAGTTTTCAAACAAAATGTTTGTAAGTAGGTGGGGCTTATTGTGAGCACACATTGATGATCGGCTGGCTGTCTTGTCATTTGACTACTTCAAATATAGTTTCTGTAATCAATGTTCTTTAATATGATGTTGTCATCTAGTTTGTATACCCTTTCAGAATACAGTTCTTTATTCAACGTTTCATATTCAATTTAATTCAATTCAAAGTTTGATTACAAAGACTTTATAAATTGTTGTTAATAAGAAGAAAATCCCATTCCAAAGATAATGCTGCTAACCTCAAGTTCCGAAGTCAATTAAATCTGTGATTTTAGACAAGTTAGTCCAATATGGATGTCGGCAACATTATGAGTAAGAAAATTACAGTTAATTACTGATAAGTAATCACCAGAATATAGTGCCATATCGTTTTTCACACAAAAAGAAAAGCAAAGTCATTTTTGGCAAAGAGAGTGCATTTTAGTCAATCTATGTAATGCTTACAAACTGGTGATAAATCAGTAGTTTATGACCAATTAAGATTGGATATTGCTAATTACATGAGCACTTTACAGTGTACTACTGTTAATTGCTGGTTATCCTCTACAGGTGCACTGGGAAACATCACAGAATATATCAGGATTATCGGAAGTTGTATATAAAATTTTTAAATAAGAGGAATGTATTTAATGTTTGGCTTAATTATCTAAATTTTTCAGGTGTAAGATAAATAGCAAAAGCAAATGGAAACTACAAGATACAAAAAAGTATTGATATGCTTTAAAATGATAAAAAATTAATCAGAGAGGGAAGAAAATCATGTGCAGAAATGCAATAAAAGATTGGAGAAAATATAAAAACATATATTAACATTTTTAAACTATTAAAAAGACATTCATCTAATCTAATTCATATAATCTAATTTTCAGGCATTAAAAGAAAAAACTGAAATATGAAAAGTTATTCCATTAAGAACCTATTTCTTACATGTACCCACTTTCTTTTTAAAAAGACAGAACTCAATCATAACCGGCCGAATAGTTGTCATAAAATGCCTAGCAAGTGCCCAAATCAGTACATCTATCAGATTTTTTTTTATCCCACCAAATGAAAGAATGTCCAAATTTCCTATTTGTGCCTATTAATTTCTTGATAGCTTTTGAATTAAAGATGTAACAGGATGAAAAAGCCATGTCATAAAACAACTTAATAATACCTGAATCAGTCCTTCTTGTTCTACAGATTCCTGAATTTCTGTATTGGATCTCCATTTAATTTAATGTTTAGGGGCAAACAAAATAATGTTCATTTAATTTAAGGCTTTCAAAAATCCATTACATAAAATTTCTATGAACTATGAACCATATTTATAATAGCATAGACTGTTCATGTCATTAAACACTTAAAATAGGTCACGACACCCCCTAGATTCTTCTAGGTGAAGATTGGTTTTGTGATTTCCTTTTGGAGTTCATGGTTCAACCGCGTTCAGCGCGTTCCTGATGAGATCAACCGACTTCCTTTTCTCCCGACGTGTTTAAATGAGAAAAGCACATTGGGATGATGGGGAAAGCATCTTGAATGGTGAATTTATAGAGTGAATAACAAACAAGCGGCATCGGTTTGCACGTCATGTCGGGAGAAAACAGATCGGTGTGATGCGTGAGCAACAAGTTGGTGTTAGGAAATAGGCCTACATCTACAGTAAGGCTAGATATATATGTGTTTGTGGCATGAAAGCTGAGTGAAATGTTTCTAAAAGCCATTTTAGGGCCAAGAAACTATTTTTGTAGTGAGAAACTTTTTCATGAGCTAGTGATGAATGTGCAACAAGCTAGAGCTGAGAGACAGATATCCATGTCTGTATATCCAGACATTTTGGGGCATGAAACCTTTGTGAATTGTTTCTGGAAGCCATTTTAAGGAGCAGAAACTTTTGTGAGTTATTTTTAACAAACAATAGGTATGAAACAGTCTGTGGTTCATGTAAAGTACAGAGCAAAAATATTGATGTGATGCATGTGTAACAAGTTGAAGCTGAGAGACGGGCATTCGTGTCTGTAAAGCCAGAATATTTTGTGGCATGAAACCTTTGTGATTTTAGTTTCTGAAAGCAATTTTTAGGCCAAGAAACTATTTTTGTGGTAGGAAACTTTTTCATGAAATAGCAAGAATGCAGTGTTTTCAAGTGGATTAAATTATATTGCTGGATGAAATGTTCACCAATTCAGAGCCATTGCAGAATTAACCAAGTTTTCATGTTTGCAAGTTTCCTTCTAAGGGTGCTTTGTGTAGAAGTTGCCTAAAATCAGTTTATAGGTTTATATATTTGTGGGAGAATTAACCTTTTAGAGTGAAAAAAAAAAAATTGAAAGCAAATCTGATTTCAAATGAAACTACAGACGAGGAAGAAAAATAGTGGTGTAAATATGTGTAGAATTGGGCTATGATGCCTTAATATAGGAATAGGTGGTATTAGTGTGTAAGAGTAACAGAGGTCAAGGTGAATAAAATACACTGATTTAAATTAGATGTAAGAAAAGGGCAAGAGGATAATTGGTGTTGAAGTTCATAAAAGCAGGTCAAGATTCATGCAGGTTTAGGACAGTTAAGATGAGTTTGTGGGAGAAGGAATGAAATTAATTAATATACATTTGAAAACATTTGAAATGAGAGACATATAATAAAAAGGAAATTTTTCATTTGATAGGCTCTGGAAAAATGAAGATTCAATAGATCATACTAAATCACATTTGCTTAAATTTTACAGAGTTATTTAAGAATGAAAATGATATGGATGGAAAACAGTAATCAGGAATGTAACTAAAACATGATTGATTGTCATGAAGACCATAAAAAGGAATCTGAGGTCTATTTATCTTTTTATGAGGGGGGGGGGGGATGTGTATTCAAAAGATGGATAGTTTATTATGATATCATCACTAATCCAACATTTTGAATGAAGAAAAATAATCTTGACGTAGGGTAAAAAACGTTGGATGATATTCATATTTCATCAGATATCCCTATCCAACCATCTCTTTAATAATTGACTAAAACCAGCGTTAAAATGATGTTACACCAATGAGTATCTCAATGCAAATTATTGTCACAACATCCAGCAATTTGGATCTTCCCATGAGATCATCTCTTATAAATCACAGGGAAAAGTATCATTGCTGATATAACTGTCAAACAGTTCTCAAGCAATTGATTTAAAACTATTGATAAAATACTGCAAATATCATAGTTTTAATGTTCATAAATGTTTAAGCATATGCAAAATTCACATTCCCAGAAGATCATCTCTTTAAGTTTAAGTAGGACAAAATATTTATCGTGGGTCGCTGTCAGACCAAGTGTCTATCTGTTTTCAAGCAATTGATTTTAATCTATCGATAAAATCATCTTCAATCTCAAAATATCACTGTATTAATGTTCATAAGTGTTTAAGCATAATTATGCAAAATTCACTTCTCGTAAGATCATCTCTTTAAGTTTAAGTAGGACAAAATATGTAGCGTGGGTCGCTCTCAGACCAAGTGTCTATCTGTTCTCAAGCAATTGATTTTAAACTATTGATGAAATCATCTTGAATCTGCAAATATCACAGTATTAATGTTCAAAAATGTTTAAGCGTATGTAAAATTCTCATTCCCATAAGATCATCTCTTTAAGTTTAAGTAGGACAAAATATGTAGCGTCCCTGTCAGACCAAGTGTCCATCTGTTCTCAAGTACTTGATCTTAAACCAATGTTGAACGTTGGAGGTTGCTTTGAAAATAAACAATATCTGTGTAAGTGATGATAGTTGCGCTGAAGACCATCTTTCATTCTCCCTCGACCCTCCACCGCTTGAAGGCTGGTGCGTCATCTTGGGCTGGCTTGGCAATGGAGTAGCTGGGTTGTACACAAACCCATTCAGTACTACAGACTACAGTACAGAGATTGTTTTGGGCAAGCAAAGTATAAAGTGGACTAGTGAATAAGAATTTAACTTGCCCTATATAGAAAATAATTGTACTTGCTGTGCATTGCTGTCTTATTTTTATTCCATATCATTTCTGATTTTGTTTCTCTTTCTTCTTCTTCTTCTTCTAAACTATTTATTATTATTATTTTTTTTATTTATTCGTTAGTATTATAATTTCCATTATGTATATAAATATTTTTTTTCGGGGGGGGGGGGGGGGTTCTCCCTTTCTATCATAAGGTTTCAGGTTCAGTTTTTTCAATAGTAGAAATAGATACTTATAGATATGAGTATAATATAGATACTAAGATATATATCATAATTTGATATAACAAAAGTAGGTGTTGTTGGGCTCAATAAAAGAAATATAGTAAAATCAGATATTGGATAGAAACAAATTAAATGAGCGTACATTATTTGATTTCAACATGAATTTTGTAACATATCTAAAACCCTACACATACATGTATAAAGAATGCATTTTGAAGTGACATTCATCATTTCATGCACGTGTATGTGCAGTATCAAGCACACCTCTTTCTTACCACATACTATACCATTACCAGACTGTTTATAGTGCTTCCCCACACTCTAGTTATTGTGGCTAAGGACAAGGGGAGAGGAAAAGAATGCGGAAAGGGGTCTGTGGGTGCCATATTTCATCCAATATGACCATGAACTGACAAGACCTTAGTATAACAATCATTTGTTGTAATCAAATTACCTCAAGGACTAAAGGATTTTCACCATGTAAATTTGAGTGTAGCCATATTTTTATTGCATCCATGTTTCATGTCTCCCCCCTCCCCCCTCCCCCCCCCCCCTCTCTCTCTGTAGCAATTTAGTTTCAAGGTGATGCGAGT